CAGTGAATAGAGTTACTTGCACATCTTCATGCTTAGGTTGACTTGGCTAGTAAACACTGCTCAATTCTTATTTCACAGTGTGAATGTCCTTAGTCATCCTGTGGCCATTCCACCCAGCTTGCCCTGAAGAGCCAGTTCCGGAGTTCTTGTGGATGACTGTCTCAATGAGGGAACTCCAACTGGCAACAAAGGTCAGGATAACAAAGCCCCAGTTAGGCAGTCAGCTCACGTCTCTTCCAGAATAGGATGAAGAAGGCCCCATTCCTGACAAGGCATGCTTCCTTTTACACCATCCCAGATCTGAAGAGGGAATGGATGTTCCAAAGGTAACTTACTCCATCATTTTCAGGACACGTTACCAAAAGATATTTATCCTAAGAAGATACACAGCACGTCTTTCCAGGTCTCGGGCCCATCAGGTTTCTAAGATTTGATGCCAGCTCAAGGTCAGCCTTCATCCTTCCAGCCTTCTCTATTACCCTCTCCGTCCATGTGTGTCAGAGAATTCAGGCCAATAGTACTCTCCAATCGCAAAAGAATGGGAGCCACAGAGAATTTTACACTTTCTACTTAACCTTTACAAAAAAGTAAAATGAAACAAGTGAAGTCTATTTTAAAGTATATTTTGTTTAACCCAATATATTTAAAATACTATCATTTAGTGTATCATCAATATAAAAAAATAACATGTTTCAGACATAAATCTTTCTATTGTACTAGATCCTTGAAATCCGGTGTGTATATTTGCAGGTGCAGCACAACTCCATTGGGATCTGCAGCATTTCATATGCTTAATGGCTTCATGCTCCATACCTGCCGGTAGTATTTGCCAGTGTGTCACTCCTGTGCTTCCAAAATGGCACAGAGAAAGGTGGACCTCTGTATCCACAGACCTGGATGGGAGCCAATGCTCACGCCCTTGGCCCAGCATGTTAAATCTCTCTTCCCACCTAGGATCTGCCCCAGCTGAGTTCTGCTGAAACAGTTAAATCCTTTTTAAAAATATCCAAGTGGCTGTCTTATTCTTCATATGAATTAGAAAAGACTATTTTTGAAATCAAAGAACAACCTTTAGGGGAAAGCAGATCCTCATCAGTGACCTGCGGTTGCACTCTGCACCTAAGGAGCACTGGCCTCTACAAGGAGCGCTCGGCGCGTATGGAGAAGGTGAGTGTCAGGCCCTCCTCTGGCCGGCTAGCCAGTGCAGGTCAGGGGAGGAGACTCCAGAGCACAGGGAGATGAAAGTGGGCTCCTGGAGGGCTGAGCGTGGAAACGTGCTTGAGACGTTTCTTCAAAAATCAAATCGAGGGTTTGTAGGAAGATCAGAACCTTCGGCACCTGCAAGCAGTAACTAGATAACTCATAAAATGATTCAGTGGCCTCTATCACCTCTGTGCAGGGAGTGACGATTCCATCATTAGCACTCCTACCTGAAACGTAAAGACAATGCCCCCAGGAGAAGTCAGACATTGCCACCCCAGAGAGAAGAAGGAACCTAGGCACAGGTTCTACAACAGCAAGTCCAGAAAGGAAGAATGGCAAACAGCCTGGGTGCCCTCTCAGGACAGGCATGGTGCTCAGGACAGAGTAGGCATGCAGGAAAGGAACCAACGGCTAAGGCAATGACACTGAGAATCCCATTTTGTGGGATTCTGCAGGCTCTCTCAGGGCAGGTTGAGAGCCAGCACCCACCTCCATAAGGACAGGGTCAACTCCGGCTGACCTGAGTGAGACAGGAACAGGGTCTGGTTCATCATCCTACTTTTTCAAATGTTTAACAATCACATATTGAACACCAAGGTCCCAATTTAACTCCTTAAGATGCTCATCCATCCCCCTGCAAATAACTGTTTGAACTGTTATTTGGATTCCTTAATCTGTGAACCTTTTTCTCCTGTCCCTGCTCAACCTGAGTCACTTGAGAGCTCCTGGTATTATCAAAGTTATGTGGGAACACAGAGCAGAGAGCGACCAACCCTCCTGGAGCTGCTGGGCCAGGCTTCCCAGCAGAGACATAAAAGCCAGGTCTTAAAGGTCGAGTGAGTTTGCCTTGTGGAAAAAATGAGAGAAGCGCATCCCGGGCAAGACACAATAGTTGTAACACCACAGAGAGGAGAGCAGGATGAGCAAGGTGGAATCCAACTGTAAAGTCTTCACATGTGGCCCAATGCCAGCTCAGAGAATGGTTCTACACTGAGGGCCTCCTGGGTTGTGTAGATTTCTTTAGGTCCGTGTCAGAGATGGAATGTTTGACCTCCTGTAATGTCATTGCAAAAATATCTGATGTCATATCACTTTTTTTTTTTCTAAACGGCCATGGAAATAATCCCCAAATTTGACATACCCAGACCTTCCAAATAGTCTCAAGTCTGGGAGCTATTCTCCACAAACACCATAAGTAACTTCAACATTTTCCACCAACACAGCTGTGGCACTTTTAATGTTTACAATCCTGTGTCACCCTGGGTCTGAGATGTTCTTCCAATTAAACCCTGGTTACACTTCTCTTTCCAAGTGCGAAAGAATCCAATTAAAGTTAATGAAAGCAATCAGTCTGCAAGTCTTGGGGTGTTCTGCCCCATTTGTGAATACAGGTAATAACAGCACTGACCTCATGGAGAGAAAGGAGGCACCATCGTTCTCTGCAAATGAGCCAGACCTGAGCCAGCCATGGAAACCTGGAATTTAGAAGGTGGCTGTGTTTGGATGCCCCCACAAAGCTTAGGATCCCATTAAGCAACAACTATGGGAGTTGGTCCTCTAAGGAGCTTCAGACTCATTTGGTTGCCATCTGGCTTGAGCTTGGCAGTGCCTCTTTTCCCATAAACCTGAAATCCTGCGACACCCTACACTAGTTTTCAGAAAGTCCTTCATTACATTATCTTTGATTTCTTAACTGGTGTCAATGAGGCAACTCTTATTCCCAAAGAATAGTACCATGAGATCCTGACAGCCGCCGAGGCTGAATGATCATTTCCATCCCTCCCGCTATGTCTCGGGGTCCACCTGCTGGGGTTCGGCTAAAAAGATCAGCCTAGGGCCCTTCGGGAAGTCCCTATGAGGTCTACAGCTCTATCACAGGGTAGCTCCTGGGACATTCCCCTTACTGTACACAGATGTCCCAGAGTTACGAATGTCACTGTCCCATTCATTCCCAAGCTCCGTTGGTTCCTCACTGTTGTGTATTTATTCCAACGACTGACTCCACCGACTCACCCGACATTCATCTCTTGTCAGAATCATGCTGTTTTGACCCCAAAGCCGTTTTCCCCACAACTTCTGCTTCCTCAGTTCAGTGCCCTTCAGTGTGGGAATGTGACCCCAGCCCCGCCTGACACCGATGGATGAGCCAGTCCCTGTTCTCAGGGAGCTTGGGCTCTGACTGGGGAAACAGAGCCAACACTCGTGAGCAGTGGGAAAACTGAACAAGGCAGTAAATAATTAAGTGCTACTCAATTACATAATTGATTAATTATAACTAATTGCTACTTAAATGAACTGCTCTAGCCCACATTGATCTTCCTCAGCTCTGACCTCCTCCTGCAGCAGCTCAGGTCTGAGCTGCCGACTTACCCACTCGCACATTGTCCAGAAACCTGAGCCCAGCCTCTGCTGGGCAAGTCTCCCCTCCTCTGACTGGAAACCCAGATGGCCAGAGCCATCTAAGGATAAGCCTGGTTTCTTACTTCTCTGACTGTCCCAGCAGAACCAGGACATTCAAGCACAGACTTTTTTTGTTTTTTGTTTTGTGTTTGGTACCAGGGATTGAACTCCGGAACACTCAACCACCAAGCCACATTCTCAGCCCTTTTTGGTATTTTATTTAGAGACAGGGTCTCACTGAGTTGCTTAGGGCCTCGCCATTGCTGAGGCTGGCTTTGAACTTGCAATCCTCCTTCCTCAGCCTCCCAAGCTACTGGGATTATAGGTGAAGCATGAGACTCTGGTAATGTCAGGAACATCCCTGAATCACGGATCATATAGCCAACATGCCCAGCCTTACATGCCTGTGAGTATAAACTAGAATCATACATTGTCATTGCTTTCCCCCCTAGCATGTCACCAGATGGTCCCTGCAAGTCCTTGGGAAATGCCCAAGGGTGTACTTATATTCCTCTGTTGCTGAACCACCAAGAGAATCCATTTACAGCCACATGTCACTGGTCACTCTGTCCTGCGGGGATCTATCCTGGGGCCTCCAGCTGATAGTCATGCAGCCAGTATCTGAGATACTAGGGGTTAGAACCTCAAGCTTTGCTGAATGATTGGAAGGAAAAACAAATCAGGGAGTCACCTATCAACCAAAGTTGCCTGTACTTCTTAAGGTTAAGGGTCCCCCACTAGGCTTTGCTCATCCCTGTGTCCTAAGAAACTGAAAGAGACCACTATGTTAGTTTTTCTAGGGCTGCCATAACTAAGTACCACGGATTGGTGGCCTAAATAACAGAAATTTAACTTCTCACAGTTGTAGAGGCTGGAAGGCCAACATCAAGGGCTCAGCAGATTTGATTTCATTCTAAGGCCTCGCTTCCTGGCTTGTATGTGGCCACCTTCCTTCCATGTCTTCATACATGTCTTTTTTCCATGAATGTCTCTATCCTAATCTTCTCTTCTTAGATTAGGGACCAACCAGTTGATCTCATTTATGTTAACCTTCTTTTAAAGGTCTTACCTTTATATATAGCCACATTCTGAGATAATGAGGATTAGAACTTCAACACAGGAATTTGAGGAAGAATGTAATTGAGGTGTAACATCACTAATAGTGTGAGTGCCTAATAAATGTGTGGGCTGAGGAATGGGGGGATGGGCACACAGCAAGACACATGGATAGAAAAACAGGCCTAAAAGGAGTTTCTAGATATAGATCGGAAGGTAAGAAGGGCAGGCTGGGAGAAACTCAGCCTACCCCAGGCCCTTCATACCCAGCCGCACCCTTTTCCTTCTCCCTGGAAGGGGCTTGCTTTTTAAGATGACCTTTTCTTTTGTGCCCTTCACAGGCCAAGGACAGAAGCATAATGTTGGTAAACTTGTGGAGAGCAATGATAAAGGACAGGCACCTGAGATGAACCTGTCTGTGGGTGCTGCTGTCCCCACAGCTTCTGGGTGGCCCTCTTCTCTTGGACACAAAGAAAGAAGGGGATGGAAGACACAGGTAAGCACTGAGTGCTGCACAGGTGAATGAATGCCGCACTGCTGAGCACCCACAGGTGCCACCTCCATCATTTCCCACGGGACACCAGGATACGCTCTCCGACTCAATACTCTGAAGCAAACTTTTTAAGTAACCAACATCTGAAAGGGAGTCAAAGCCCTGGAATGGAGGCCTTTTTCTCTTCATGTGCAGCAAAATCATTACTGTGGTTGAACACGCGACACTCCCAGTGGCAGGAGAGGCCGGTAATTACGGTGGGGCCGAGAGAGCGCTCAGGGTCAGCAAAACAAAGAGGAGGAAATTGCTGCACAGATTGGCTCAAATATCAGACTCAACGAAGAAGAAAACACAATTTGTTCATTTGGAAAATGACTCCGGTGGCGTGAATACCCATGCATGGTTGGAATTCAGGGCATGACAGAGTGACAGACAGCCTATAGGGTAGGGTGTCTTCTGGGAGAAAAGGCTATGTGCTACTTTTAGGCCAGAGATGAATTTGGTGAGCAGGGCAGAGGACAGCAGAGGGGACCCCTGTTTGTAAGTTATAAGGCACGCAGGAATTGCAGCATTTATAATTTGAGGCCCAGGCTCTAAGGGGCTCACAACTCTTTGTGGGGCCAGTGTCTCCGGGGCATCATATCTGACCTGAGATTCCAGAACATGCCATGCTGCACACATAGCATACCACCAGGGCACCAAGACTTTGAAAGGAGCACTGGTGGGCCATGGAGGTGGGTGCACATCTATAACCATCCAGGACACTATTTGCAAGCCCTCCTTCCATCTCCTCTTCCATACCATGGGACATGTGAACCTGCAGGGTCCAGTACAGAGGACAGCAGCAGGGTTGGCTGTAGATGAGAGAGACTTGACAGCTATGGACCATCATTGCAATAGATTGCTTCTGGGTCAGGTGATCATCTACCTAGTTTGCCCAGGATAACCCAGGTTTATTTACATTTATGGTTACAGCTAATCCTTTAACATACAATGTGTCCCCATATATCCTAATGCTTTGGAATATTCTAGAACACAATCCCCATCCATCCTTATGTGTCTTAGCCATGACATTTACCAAGAGGGGCCCAAGTCTGCCTGGAAAAGGTACTGTGGATCAGGGCCTCTGTACAGTGCATGAGTCTCCTCCCTTTAGGATTACAAATATAAGGCCAACTATAGGAGGATCACTTGGCCCCAGGTTGCTGTTCCAATACTGACCACTGTTTGTGGATGTCCCATGGACTGAGGCCCACTGAACAAGCCACTAGGGCTTGGCCAGATTCCTGCTAATGTGCCCCCTCCCCCACTCCTTATGTTGCAAGTACTTTTGCACTTTAACCCCATCCTCAAATGTCACCTACACAGGTCTCTATCTTCACGTCCTGTCTGGGCTGAGACCCCAAAACAGTTGATACTAGAGAGAGCTATCTTCAGAGAGAGAGACAAACAGCTATTTCCAAAACATAACTGGAGTTCTTGTCATCACTGGGCACTGGGAAAGCAGGCAATGAGAGGTGGCTTTGTGAATAAAGTGCTCTAAGTTGGGACTTGAAGCGCAGGGAAGGTTTAAGGCCTGCAATGGGTTCACAGCAAGAGGAAGGACTTGTGGGCAGTGGTGGCACCAATGAGGAAAAGGGTGAGAAACTGGACACCACAACTAACAGGGGAGGGTAGCAAGGCAGGCCACTGGACACCAGGCTCCGGACTCTTCCCCAGGGTCAGGAGGCCTGGCACCCACTTGCCAGCTCCTGGGGAGCCCGTCATCTGCATCCATCCTTTAGTGACCCTGCCTGGAATTTAACTGATTCCTAAATGCAATGCTGCTATCAGGGACAAAGTTTAGTCTTAGGTAATTAAGTCATTGAAATTTGGAAATAAAGAGCAAAGATTAAAATGCTCACAGTTATTTAGTGAAATGGAACAACTTCATCATCTGCAGGAAACATAGGACATCCTTGGTCTCCTCCCAGAAGTTTCTAGCCAGGCTGCCCAGTGAGTGGGCAGGTGGGCTTGGCAGCTCCCAGGGAGGTCACAGTTCCCTGAACCAAGATCCTTCACTCACTTATGTGGTTTCTACTGGTTCCTATTGCACAAGAGCTGTCCTTGTGGTGTTAGGTCTTTAAAATTCCGAATTTGCTTGAATTCTTCCAGTTCTGTTAATGAAAGGATGCTCAGCAGCATGGAGGATGAAGTTAGGTAAGACCACTGGTGATTCTTTAGACCACCTGGATAAAGCACTAGAAAGTGGGTAATACCTACCACTTTAAAAATAGAAAGCAAATATGAAGGATTTTTTTTAATCTCAGCAGCTATTTAAAAGATAAACAGTAAATACAAGTGGAATTATACCAACTAACCGTATTACCAGCAGTCAATTGCTGTAGAATAAACATTCTTATTTCCAGGGCATTCTAATATATTCAAAGACATGGAGAATGGTACCAGAAGAATTTATCACTGACATTTGCTAAATTAGATATTCACGAGGTTTGCCTATATGGATGACAACATTTTTAGCACTTCAAGGTCCTTGGAATAAAAAGTCTGTATAAAAATTCAGGACGGTATTGTTATCATCAACACTTTAAAATTGACTGTGATTGTTACAGCACTTTTAAAATCAAAGAGACCTAAAAAGAAGGGGGGAAATTATATGTGTACTCTATATTTGAATTTTTATACATGAGATTTAAAACATAATATTGTGATGTTTACTTCAGATAAATTTGTTTTCACCAGACATTTCTTCTAAGCTAAAGTCAATGCATAGCTTAGCAAGACCCACCAGCCAAATAATCTCCATCAACAACCTGCCAATTAGCCAAGGCATCATGTTTGACAGTTCAGCTCTCAACCTGTTCAACCATGCATTCCATTTTGGCTGCTGTCCTAATTAATGACTAATTTATAAAAGGGGATAATAATACATACCTCACACATGCCATATACATAATTACAAGGATTGAACCAGAGCACACACACAGTACCTGGCATGGCAGGTGCTTGGTAAACGTTTAGATTTTCTGTTTTCTGTCCTTTGCAGACATTCTATCAACTCTTACAGTCTTTGTTCTTGTATTCCCAAGGCTGTTTAGAAATAAATAATAACAAAAATTAAAAGATTTTTTGTATGATCATATCTCCTAATATGAACATTTTGCAAAATCCACCAAAGGAATCAGAGGTCATAAGGCCACCATTCCACAATATATTAAGACCTTGTCTCCTCTCTTTTCTCCCATGACCACTCAGCTAGATTTGTCCCTCTACTAATTCTGTTTACTAAAGCTATGTAATATGTTTTTAAGTCCACAGCAACCTCCAGAATTCACAGCCAGTGAATTCCTTAGGGCAAGGGCAATGACTTGCGTCTGTTTGAAATCCTCTATAGGCATCGTCATAGCTATCTCTCAATAATGTTGAAGGAAATTTAATGCTGTGCTACCCAAAGATATTAACAATGCCATGATATGGATTCTGGGCATCATGTTGGTGCCTCAAGTTGAGCTGGTTTTCTGAAAAACAAGGCTTATCTGGACTACCTCAGTCTAGACAGAAATGGCCCTTCCTCGTCCACATGCAAACATGGGCCTGGGGCAAAGAATGTGTAGCTTCAGCCAGAGACCCTGCAATGTTCAACACCAGCTGTTAAGAATGGCAAACTGAAATCTGTAATCCGGCTATTCAGTATAAATAAAGACTTCAACCTTGTTTTCTAAATTTTATTATATTTTAACTTATAGTATATATAATACTGTATAATATATATACATATATATATGTATATATATGTGTGTGTGTGTGTGTGTGTTACATGTATGCATACCAACTTATAGTAGCTAACACTTTATGGACACATGGAACCAGACTGCATGTAAATTTTCACTATTTTATTGTATATAGCATCATATACGAAGTACAGACATGGTCGTGTAATAACATGCAATGAAATGTATCAGAAAGTGGGCCATGTCCATCAAAGCCCCATTTGGTTACCGTAGCAAGACACAAGGGAATTTGAATCATCAGTTAATGTTCTCATATGTGGGCAATTCCTAACCACAATTTAAGTTTAACCAACCCCATAACTTCATTGGCTTTCTTCAGCAGAGGACCCACAATGCATAAAAATAAAGAACCTCATCCCAGTTTCTCTCCTCTAGGGAGATCTTTCTGTGAGGAGACATTACATGCTCAGATCCATGAAAAGTACTTGAATTAGATTTCTGTGATCATTTTTATGGGCTGAGGCCCTCTATGCATCCTGAGAGGCCAAACTTTCTCTTGGCAGAAACTGGAGCCCTGTTTACTGCAGCTTGCTTTTGTCTTTGACCTTGTCCATCTTTCTTGTGATGTCATCCTGCCTGCAGATCAGGCATAGAATATGAAATTCTCTGTATGCTGTGGGTACTCAGCCCAGAGTATACTTTCATAATTTCCATTTATAAGCCAGGCCTCTCAATAGAAAACAAAACACACACATCATACACCCCACCCCACATTCCCCTGGACACCCAGCTCTAAGTTTGACCCATCGTACCAAAGTGATGCGTACCTTTCTGTGATTCACATCCCCATGGATGATCTTTGAATAAAACTATGATGAAAAAACATGAATTAAAGAATTAAGTATCTCAATTAGGGTTTCATGAGTCACAAGTCTTATACCCAGAAGAGACTTTGGAGGTCACCCCCGGGTTAACCCCCCTCAATTTACAATCAAGGATACTAAGCAATAAGAGGTTAAGAGACTTAGCCAAAGGTCCCACTCACCAAACGCCAAACAGGAGCCCAGCCTCTGCCCCAGTCCTGCTCCCTAGACACTGTGCTGTGACCTCCATCCCCCACACAGCCCATCTCCAGGGTCAGTCACCTACTTCATCAATATTTGCCCAAACCTCTAATGTGCCATGGTGGTTTTTCTGTTTTGCCCAACTTCTTTGATAAGCAGCCTCAGGTCAGAATTCTACATTAATAATTTCATAAACAAATGTCTTTGTTAGCACCTTCAAAATTTGTGCCAGAAAAATAAACCTGAGTAACACTCCACACTGCACAGACCTCTAGTTAACAATGCACTTTCGCTGGCCTCGTAACATTGGTCAAGTAAGTCAATGAAGGGTTCATTTGCTGAGAGAGCCAAGCACAGGAAAGGAAGAGAGAGAGGAAAAAAGAAAGATCCCCCAGAGAAAGAGAAAAAGAAAAAGATTTTTTTTAAGTATGGATGGGACTGCCAGGAAAACGTCTTTCTCCTTTGGGGGGTTGGGAGCCAGAAAGTCTTTGCTCACTTCTCTTTCATGATCTCCCTTCTGAGGAGCTCAAGCCTGAGCACCTGCCTGAGACAATCACCTGACCCTTCCGCGTTCTGACCTCAGAGCCTGCAAGTCCTCGTGCTGCAGTTCACAAATCTCACTCCAAGGACCTGCAGTGCCTGTGGCAGGGCTGGCCAGGGCAGGCTCCTTGTATTAGGCAGAAAATAGACTTCACAGAGGTGAAATCCAAGGAGAGGTTGCCTCTGGCCAGGGCCAGCCCCCTGACTTCTGACCCAAATGGACTGAATGTGCTCGGAGAGC